CCAAAAGCTTGAATGAGTGTTTCTTCAGCATCCACCGTGCTCTCCGGATCTTGCACCAACCGACTACCACCTTTCCACACTCTGTCAAACCAAATGAGGAGCGTTACCTTCGATGGCGAAGAGGTCCTTAAAAACTGGCTCAACAACTTCTTCGACCCCAGACCGGCCGATTTTTGGCGAAACGGCATCAACAAGTTGGTCGAGAGATTGGAAGAGGTCGCAAACAATAATAGGAGGATACATCATTGATTGATTTATTATTATGATTACTGTTTTTTGTTAAAATAAATCTTTGTGGAAAAACTCTACGAACTTATGTTACAACCCAATAGTTCCTATGAGTTGTTATCACTTTTTATCACCTACCTCCAGTGTTTCCATCCAGCCCCCTGTATCCATTCAAAATTTGGATGTGTCAGTACGAATTCTAATTTTTCCTCAAGGCACATATCCTCTTTATACCTAGGCTCCAGCTTTCAAAGTTACTGATCCTCAGAGTTACTCAATCAGTCCCTCTTTTCGAACTTACCGGAGATAAGTGGTATCAGAGATAGTGGATAAGTGATAGCTGTTAAGCAATCCATTAGGATTCCTTTATAACATTCCTTATGAGACTCCCTCCTCCCAATGGGTCCAAGCACAGCTGCTTCCCATAGAAAAAATGGTTTATAGCTTCGTTAAGTGAACCGTCTAATGGATTCATAACGCGGTTGTGGGCTCATCATATCAAAACTCTTACGATAGTGCACATATCGAACCAATTGGCTATGAGAACTTAGCATTTTTCCAGTCTCAGAAAGATAATCGTGTCTGCCGAGGCATCGCTGTAGAGGAAATTCAGATGTGAAAACTGAGAGCGCATGTGTTTTCGTGATTGGAGACTGACCTTTTCATGGTCAGCGAAATGGTTGTTTGCAAACTCCAACGGGTGGGAACGGTTGTAACAAGTCCTTCGAAATTGACAGTCAGACGCATAAAAAGATTCCTCAGAAAAAGAGACGTATGAGAATCCATTGATTCAATGCGTCGTGGAAATCTCCAATCCCGGGGCAAACCGAATAACCTGGCTTCTAGTAGGTCAGCTGAACGTTACTGATTCAGTTTGAATGGCAATTGAACGCAAGGACAGAAGGGCCACTCAAAGTCAGTGGACTTGTTTGTTCTCATCCAAGTAGGACTGTCGAGTCTCAAATGTGGAACAACTTCAGCCAGAAACGAAAACATTTACATCCCTGGAGGATGCTACCTACTTGTACCAATTGCCGAGGGGTGTGGTGCAGCAGGCTCGGTTTTGGTGGGAAACACGGATTAAATTGCATTTAATTGAAATGAGAACAGATGAGATTCACTTTTATAACAAAGCATTTCCGATAAAACTACTTTCATTTTTAGTTCTTTTTTTTTCAAATTTCTTAACCACCTTGAATTTTCTTTTTTCATCGTGAAACTATTTGTTCATATCGTATCCTCACCAGGGTATAATACCGAGAATCAAATTCCGAGCGGCAGTTTATCAGCTACAATGTAAAACAAATCATAAATATATTTGAAGAGGGCCAGTGAGGAATGCTGAAGTGCAATAGCGTGGCTTACCCTGACGGATAATAATCCCAGTTCTTTCCAGTCGAATAGTCAACAAATTGAAAAAAGTAAAAATCATGAATATCGTGATTTCAATAAATGTTCCACGAAGTTCACATTTATTGCGAATAAAAAATATCAAATGGGTAAACGATATCGCCTAGGCCAACCAAACCTTTCATCTTTCCGGGATCGATTATTCGGGCTTGTCTGGGTGGATTAAAACACTGACTTGCGGCTGGCAAGTCATTGTAGAGGTTATATGCGCATTTGGTAAGCTACTACGATTCTGTAAGGAAGGCTAATAGGGGTCGCATCCTTCAGACCGGACTGATCAACGCTCGAAGACTTTATCCTTTTAATCCTTCAAAAGGGTGGACATCATCACGGAAGCGATGAACTATAAAGGGGCTGGAATCGAAACTTTTAATTGCTTCGAAATTCAGACAGCTGCTTCAACAATGCTAAATTTAAACAGCGTGGCTATTGAAGAGACATTGAGGAGCTAGAATTAAGCCTCAGTGGTTAAGATCAAAGTAATTACCAAAGAGGGTGTCATACAGTAATTGCATTGCACAGTGTTCCCGAGAGTAACGTTAAAGAAAGGGTTTGTCTGTACAAAAAAAGAATATCGGAGGTACAGGGAGGTCGAAGAGTTTCTCACAGTGTTCACGTTCACACTAAGAGCAGGCGGATGAGGTCAAGTATCGAATGACGGAGCACAGAGTGTTTTAGTCAGCTAAAAACACAGCTCATTTCCAGGCAGCTCCACGGCAATTGCTCGAAAGCCGGAGCAGCCATTAACAGAATCTTATTTCGGCTTTTTATGACAGTAGAGCTACTCAGTCTCGAGCCGGCTTCGTGGAAGCGGAGAACAGGTCATCGATAATACTCTGAAATGTTGGATTCCCACAGCTTTCACTCTCCATTTTATTTTTAAAAAAATTTGTACAACTTCACTCACTTGGTTAGATTTCATATCAAAATGATACTAGGAACCTGATGACAACTTCCTCTCCGCATTGTGAAATACAAAGAATTGGAGAAGCAAGTACCAACGTTCTGCTCACATTTTCATCTGGGACGGATGATCTTAGAGTTAGGAAAAGATAGAGCATCTGTGAAGATTGAGAATCTCATAATGGACCGCATGACCCATTACTTTTACCATACGCTGCAGAGGGAGCATTCCTAGGCAAAATGCTCTTAATGATGTGCTGGCTGCTCGAAAATGGTGGAATTAGTTTGAATAATGGCTATTTGGGCCGCACAGAAAGGTCTACTTTTTCTTCCGACGGTCATAGAGATTTTCTTTTATGCTTTAGCTAGGAGACCCATTCTACGAGAAAGTGCAAGCGCCACTTTTCACTAGGGGACTATATATACTCAACTTGGTTTCCCTCCATACACAAGACTAGTATTCGTTACAAAACAATGAAAAAACCAAGAGCAACCGGGAAATATTAGTTTGAAGCATAATTATTGCGGATTTTTTCCAGCAAATTTTACTTAAAGAAACTCTAGAAATACTAAGCAAAGACATATTCAAATAATTACTCCGGAACTTATTCACCATCTAGGTCAAGCTCTGCTTCCCATTGATTAGTTAGTCGGATCCCAAAAGCGAAGAAGTTTTGATCCTTTCGGGCGATCCACGCCTTGACATCGGCCATCAAGTCATCCAAATCGACGTATCTTCTATTCTCTAGCCATTTTTTCGATGAACGGTTGACGAGATAATCCATAAAAGTCTCTGCTGATGAATATGGCAGATTTAGGGGCAGATCCCATTTCTTGGTTGGCTCTGGCTGATTGTTCGATCGCCGATTTGATCTCCGAAAAGTTTCTGAGACTGCGCCACCTTCCAATCTTTCTCGAAGTAGTTAAGCCTAATTTCGCAAACATGCGGATGGTTTTTTGAGTATACTCTTCTAGAGAAAATCGAGTAGATCATTTCTAGAAAAAAACCAAACTCAATATTCAAATTCTATTGGGAGAAAAAAAGCTGCGAAAAAATCCGCAATAATTATGCATCAACCTAATAATTGAGCGAGCAAGAAACGAGGGAATGATCATTTGAAATTGCAAAAACGGATTCACCTTCGAAATGTTGAAATTAAAAAAACGATCAGGCGAAAAATAGCGATGATGATTAAGGTATTACAGTTTCTCCGCGTTTATCAGCCAACTAAGGAATACGCCCCGCATTCGACTTTCGTTTGAAATGGCCTGGCGCTTTGCATGCGTATATGGCCAACAAATTTCATGAGGTGACCAGCCGATGTTGAAGTCAGTGATTTTATCCTTCATGGCGAGTTCGATTGAACCCGGAGAAATGGAGGCTTGATTGGCCGACTGGACGAGTATCGTTCTTGGACTCGATCTCCGGACCATGCGTATGTCACAGTGATGTAGTGTCACTTGCCATTACATCACTTCCACCTACGCAAGAAAATAATCGCTCGAAAACGATAGCCAATGAAGGGCTCTCAAACACTGAACAAAGCATCCATTACCTTCGAATCGCTACTCCGAAACAAGCTTTATTCCAGTCGTTTTATCCTCCCAGACAAGCATTATACCAATTAGCCGATCTCTTCGGGGTCGGTTAACGGGTACAACACTTGTCTGGGAGATAAAAGCACTGACTTGTACATCGACTGACCACCGCGAGTCATTGTATAGGCCGCATACGCATTCAATACGCCACTAAGATTCTGAATGGGAGTCGAATGCGTGGGCGCATGCCTCTGACGGGATTGATCAACGCCCAAGACTTTGTCCTTATCCTTTACCGGTTGGGGAAATTGGCTTGAGTCAGCAACTCCTTTTTGTATTTATTTTCTTGTTGTCACTTTTTTCACATATAAAACGCTGTCCATAAAATGTAGTAATGTTTCAAACAATTGAGCTGCACCTTTTTATTGTGCTTACACTTTTCGCCTACCTGCGTTGCTGAAACAGTTCTTTGTTGGTTCATACAAAGGTTAATGAACTGGCTGTAAAGCTGGGGTGGCAGAGTGGCAGAGTGGCGTAGGATGTGTATGTATCAGATAGCCATCAACGAAATCTTGTTAGCGCACAATGAAGTTCTTTTTGATAGATATCTATGTAACTACTGTTGATACCGTACTTTTTGAGGCTTTTCAATTCCATGGACCCTCAGCTGCCGACAATTGAAACACTTTCCGCGATTTTCAGAAATGTCTACCATTAAGTGCAGCATTCCGAAGAGTTGAATTTATTAGATTTCTTATTGCTTATTAGTTCCATTATTATTCCTACGAAATATCACATTCATAATAGAAATCCTATTAGATTGAAGTGATGAATGCGTGAGCTGTGAGACTGCTGCTGAGCTTTTGGAGCTTTTGTTCCTTTCCTTTAAACGTTTTCAAACACAACGCAGCTGATAATTGCTATCGTGGAGCTGTTCGGATTATCTCGTCGCCGCTTTCATCTCCGCTGTTCATCACGTTAAGCTCTTGTTCCTCCTCTACGGCTTCCTTAACTTTTATACTTAAGTTGCCCCAGACAGTGCAGAAAGCCATGGTAATATTGTTATCTTATCACTTACTTCGATGAAGTCAACGTCCTCCTCGCCAAGTAACTGGACTCGCTCACCATCTGGGTCGATTTCCTCGTACCTAAACATGCATTAAGTTGTAGAACCCTACACAAGAAGAAGGAGATGAAATTAGGGAACATAATGGACGAATAAGTGGCTCAGAAAAATCTGTAGGTCTCCATAAACTTTGCTAACGTTCAGAAGCTAACTATCCTCCTCCGCTAATCCTATTTAAAAGACAGCTCGAATTCGACTTTATACCGTGCTCAGGCTCAGTTAAGTTAGACGCTATTTCATGATTACTATGGGAGAAACTGCCGATCTGCCATAAGGCTGCGAAATGTAGGTTGAACTTAGCCTAGGACAGAATTTAAACTCGCTGTTGTGCTGCCAGAAAGGCACAAGCACGAGTCAGAGTCTCGCCCGCGGCCAAGTTTTGCCACTAGCTGAGCAATGCCAAATTCGATCTTACATTGAGCACCGCTAAGAATGTCAGCAGCTGAGTAAAGAAAAATCTTTTGTCAAGATGCAACATGACTTCACCTTGCTATTGGCAGTCGCATTGAGTTAAACTGAGCTTGTAGAACCTTTTCCTGCATTCGTTGCAGCCGAAGTTGTCGCATTAGTAGCTAGAACACAGTATTATGAGAAATTAGACAATTAAGTGAAATTGTGAACAAATCTCATCGAACAGCAATCACAACACACCTCTTTTTGCATGTGTATCACTTCAGGATCAACGGATGGCATCAACATGATCGGAGGCAATGCGGTCATTTCAGGCCGCGATTGTATCGCATCATATGATGATAACAAGAATTCAGTATTGTCACATTGATCTGAATACGCTTTTTTGAAACAGGACATATAGCTTTGCAGTAATTAGCAGGTAGCGTAAGAGGAGTGCACTTAAAAATTGCTTCTGGTGCTATCTTAATAGAACGGTGTTCGCTGTTCAAAATAGAGCGTTATGTAAAGGGAGAGACTTTTTGCTAAAATGCCCCATTTCCCGTCTATACATTCGTGCCATTGAGAGCAGCAGAGGAACTACAACAAAACGCATAAGAAAATGAAACAAATAAAAGCTATGATTATGAGGCGACAGGATGATCTTCGTTTAAAAGAAAAAACTTCTCACCGGCACGTTCAAGAGTCTCCCCTAACGATAAATTGAAGCGTGCTGCTAATCCAAGAGAGGCACCCTTCGAGCTTTTCTTCTGCCGCGTTTCGGTAAAGGCAGGCGCCCTTGACGTGGAAGGTGCCTCTTAAAGATGAGGGTTAGGCATGTAGGCTTGGGACCAAACACAAGAAAAAATCTGCATGAATATTTATGTACATGTAAGATGCGATTATGGATTCATGTATGTACGTAAATGTGAATATATGATTCGCATGGAAAGCCTGTTTTTGTAGATGGAGTACTGGCAGAAAGAAGCCTGTAACAGTTGACAACAACAAAAAAAAAGAGGTCATCAAACCCTTTTTTGTATTAATAGCCGAGTTTTCTCATTTACAAGCCCTTTTAGCCCGCGATGAACACACGATAGACAACAGCAAGTGCTAGCTGCCGAAAGCTGCCTGCCTTGTCCTTCTTCAAACGTTCACACCAACATGTTGTAAAAGCGATGGAATGGAGTGTTCACAAAAGGTACGAAAAAAATGCGTCGAGAGAAATTGAATAGTAACAACCAGTTACTCTTAAATCTTTCAATTAGCTACATTTTTGTGAACATCACATTACTTAAAAGAGCATTCTTTGCATATGGCAGGCCGGTCTCGTACCCTTCCAAGCGAGGATATCTCAGACACTTTCAGCGCAGTTTTCTGTGCACACTAGAGCATAATTTTGATTCTTTGCAATGAATGATAACGTTTCATCAAGAGAGCGCTCAAAATTCCAGGAGCGATCAAGCTCCGACACCCCAATTTCGGCTCGATCCCGGCAGATACGCCTGTATTACTGGGTGAAGAGGTGAACAGACACAAAGACACAAACAAGCTTCTAAGAGATCGTACGGTCACGATCTACTCGAAAAATTTGATTAGTTGAAAACCAAGCCGACCGTGCACAGGTCTCTGCACACAATGGATAAGTTCGCCTTACTAAGGAAAAACACCTAACTACCCTACCCTCAGCACCTACCTGTCTTAAAACCTGGTCCTGAGAAAATGAGCCTTGTTTGTTTGGCATGGCCTCATAGACAGAGTACACCGTATTTCATGAGTGCTTTATGTATAAAAGCTTACGCTTGCCCGATACTACATCAAGGATAAAATTTTTGAAAATAAAAAAGTACTTGATAGTTGGATTACAGATGAACAAGTAAATAATTTACAAAGGAAAATAGAATTCTGCATCCGCATGATCTTCTCTGAAACGAGGAGCAGCACATACCTCGTTTGGATTCTGTTGGCATATGATGGGATGAATTTCTGACTTCCGTCTTCGCAGACATCGAGCTCGGGCGTGACAAACTTGCTGATATATTGCTATGTCCAGCGGAAGATTCCTCAATTTGCTGACCTTCCGCTATTCTAAAAAAACATCTTCGTAATGAAAACAAATAAATGAAAGAAGATTTCATCCTGACTCTTCTTCTGGATAGACGTGTCCATTGAAACCAGTGGTTAAAGATGCTGGTCGATCATCCTGATATATTTCAATAAACCCAGGTTCCTTAAATAAAAAAGTTTCGTACACTCTAAAATGCACTTTACAGTAGTTGTTACCGCTACATACATCGTTTTTATGCTTTGTAGCATATGGTAGTATAAATCCAGATGCGTAAGGAGAGTAACGAGTTCGCTTTATGTAGGGCTGGCGACGAAAATTCGTCGGTATCGTTCCCTAAAATCCTGCTTTTAAAAAATAAAGGAATTCATTCTGTTTTAAGTGGTATAAGAAGTGAAACATACAGATCCAAACGAAATACTATAGTTGAGAAGCTGATAGTGATTCAAATGGAAAGGATTAATCAATGCAAATAGAAAATGAGAGGAAAAACAATTAAGGAACGAAGTGACGTTAACCAATACTAAAAACATTATTACCTTCTAAATAAAACTATTATATTATTAACTTAAATGGATTTTCGATTGTGTACAAACGGCGACAACAATTTAGCTCATCGATAGGCACCCTCTGCTTAACAAGAGCATGATCCCAGCGAAAGAGCTTTCTGTATACACTTACGAGTAATTAGTATCTTCTAGCTAATGGTGCGTCTAAGTAGTGGTTGGCGCAGAGACTATAAACACTGCCATGAAAAGGTACAAGTAGGTCCAATCAACGATCAACACTCCGTCCATTTTGTGAGATTGGTGAATTGGTACCAATTATGTTATAGAATGTCTACATATGTGTGTATATGTGTGTGCTTGTGTGTATGTGAGTGTCTGTGCCTGTGTATGTGTGTCTGAAAACATTAAACTGAACATGGACAAGGGGTTGCGACTGACAACTACACGTTCAAAGTTCCCACGACTCGAAAGATCATACGAATAACTACACCTAAGCGCATGGCACCTGGAATGAAAACATGAAAGTTCCTCGAAGCTTAGTTGCCCTAAGCTTACCTTTGTTTTTCCCTACTGATGAGCAGTGCCCTCCAAGCAGGAACACATAGTCGATACTTATGGTTAGCAATTTCTCCAATATGGCACTCAAAGAAGCAGTCTACTAAAATGCGACTCAAACTACACAGCCGTAATTGGCAACGAACGAATAGCACACGCTTATCAGAACACCAGTCTTTTCGCGATTCTAGCATCTTTACTTACACTTTGCAGAGAACACAGCTGCTCTCATATCTGTCAACATCTGTCTGGTTCCATTTGACCTGATTTCTCGGAACACCCCGTTCCCTAACATTCTTCTCTAAAGCAACAAAAACGCTGCCGATCAGGTTCATTTAGACACACAACATCCAACTTCCCGCAAATTTTATATTGGTTCCAACCCTGCATTCCAACATAGTCATGTCTGACTAACCGAATTTGGGCGAGCAAATCGACCTCGCATATCATTCGTAGTTTCCTTGAAGGTGTACGCCGTCATCCTTGTTACTGCAGCTGCACGCACTTCGTGCTCGTTATATCTAGATGAGAATTTCATAGTTAATAATTGGAGTACATAAAGGGAAAAAAGCAAAAAACCGCAGAAAATTCTGATTCAATACTTGACTCTTATGTCGTATACGGCTGATTTTTTCGGAATTTTCTCTTACTACTTCTTAGGCAAGGTTCAACTCAAGAAGTACAACATTTGACTTCCACAATCTCCATGATAATCTCACCCAATGAGACTGAAGGTTAATCGGTCATACATCCCGTTGGATTCCAATGACTTATTTCGCACTTCAACATTTAGATCGAAGTTATCACCTGAAAAATGAAATTCTAAACCCTAAGTAAAATTTTTCAGTTTCTACGTTATCTTGAAGTTGACAAAAACCCTTTCAGACATAAAAGACTATCGACAAAAATAAAAACCCACTCGTTACATCAACAGGAGCTTTCAGAATTTTCTTCCCTTCCAACTTCTTTTGGTTGCAAAAAGCGCAACTATTGATAAAAGTCTTCACATCCTGTCGGACGGATCGCCAATGTAGTTTTTTTAGCACGACAATCTGTCTGAAAACGAGCCCAACCATCATCAAGGAGATAGCCAAAACTAAAAAAGGCATGTGACTGTTTTTACGGCTCGGCAACCACTTTGGGAAAGGACTTGGCAAATCAATCTGCACCCAAAAACACGCGTAATGTAAATACGGTATTGTACAACGACACTTTGGCAAAGCAAATGAAATACGGAAAAACTGAATTTTAGCCTAGAGGAATCGTAGGTTTCCTCTTGTATCACACACTCAATTCTCAATTGAATGAGTAAGCTTGGGAGTTTGGATACTCTTATGTACAGAAACTCACGTTCTTTTTTGCCCTAAGTGACCAATCAAATCGTGGATGCGTTCAATTACACGGCGTACTTCGCCCCTTTTCACCACCACTTTTGGCTGATCATTCACGCTGCTGGACGGGTTATAATAGAGTAACGTCTCGTTGTCATCCGCAAGCACAAAACGTAGGCATCTTGCCCTGAAAAAAAGAACGCATCAGTCCTCTCCTTTGCCAAACGAAAAAGAAAACGACTGTTGTAAAATATATATTGTAGATGTCTGTGGATTTATGCCTCATCGCGACCTACGTTTTTTTCACATGAAGAATATGTTTCAAAAAAAAAAACACAATTTTTCCTTCTGGGCCGAACTGTAAGACAGATTTCTCTTATCGACTCCTAGCACGATTTGGTTCACCTTATATGTAACAGACATATTCGGTTCTCTATATAACATCATATACTGAGCCTCAAAGTGCCTTAGAAATACGACAAGTACTGAAGGATCAAAATGTGAGTGAAACCGACCACTATAAACCTCAAGAGGAATCAAAGGAGCCTTGCAAAAGATGCTACAGTTTTGCTGGGACGATCGGTCAGGTACCAGACGTTAGAGACAAGACAAACTTACCGCCAATGACTTAATGCACTGCGATCGTGTCGAGCACCTATGTTAGGAGGGTAAGTTCCAGTCCTGTAATGGCAAGCTTAGAACAAGGAAGCATGATTGACATTAACAGATTTAGAAGCGAATTTCTTCATCACACCTCCTAAACGAACGACAAAAAGGTTTACCTCTTAAATTCCACAATATTGTCATAGAGATCGAGAGGCATACCACCGTAAGGATCATCTCCATTTCTTTCCTGCTCTCCTTCATCGCCGTAGGCGTCATGGAGAGAGTTATCAATCGACTCACCATACTCTCCCACTTCTTCCAGTAATTCCTAAAAGATTAAACTTATTTAATGAAATGTCACACCTCCTCCAAGATCAAAATATATAGGACTGAAAAAAGGTTATACGGTATGCGCTGAAACATGCGTATTGGGAAAGATAGGTGCGCAATTTCAGAGGGCTTGGTTTTGCAGACTAACAGTGGTTTGGAAACTAGACCAGGAATTTCTCTGTTAAAATGCCAAGACTCTTTCCCCATACAGCTGCACTGTTGAATAGAGGTATGGAGTAACGGATCCAACTTCGGGTTTCTAAGGCCAAGTTCTCCAGGGTACACCCCAGATTTCGATCCAGTTAACTTGGGAGATGGACGAATATTTCCTTTTCATACATTTGCTTGTCCGGCTTTCATCTCCTTTAAAAAATGATACTGAACAATATGTGGGAGATTTCAACGCTACTGGCCGAAAAAGACCACCAACGGCTGTCAGCTTGGAAAATCATTCTGCCACGATGTTTGGGCCATTCGGCTGATTCTCCTATGGCTTTTTAGAGTTTCTACGCCAGTACAGAGTCTAGCAGAGTCAGAGCGTTTTGTGTGAAGGTGCCTCAGCAAAAAGGAGAAGAGAGTCATCCAAATTAGATAAAAGCGCGTCAGAAAGCGATGAAAGGGAAAGAGCCGCACAACCGCAAGTGTAATCATGAACAGGCAGAAGAAGGCAGAGACGAAGGGAACGAATTAGCTTCATTGATAGTGAAGGACATAGAAATATGCGCTTGTGCTGCTCTCTCCCTATCATCGCTTTCAGGCAAGCTGAGCTAGTATCCTCCACGAACGAATTTTCATGAACCTCGCCATGACTGCTCTATTACCAAGTTGTTTTTAAACTCTTCACAGCGTTTGTATATGAGCTTTATTAGGCTGACTTTTTGGCGCCTTCTTCAGAGTCTGAAAGGATCGTAACAATTTGTGAGTGCCTGATCAAGCTGCTCTATTGAAGTTCGAGACTCCTGGGGCACGCAGGGGATTGAAGGAAGAACCACTCACGTAGCTTTGTGGATTCTTCGAATCACCCAGCAGTCGATGGTACCAATCGACCAACAGTGTCAGCTGGGGTCGTCAGGCCTTCACTTAGAGTCTTTCGACAATGCTATCTCTATATAAGGCCGCAGCTCCCGTGATTGTAGAGCATTCTTCCCTCCGATTCATTTTTGGATTGGTGGCCTGTATTCAAAATATCGCAAGGGTTTCTCCACAACTACGACTACGGCGCCACGACCGGCACGGTGACAGCAAAAACACCCTCGCTGTGCTTTTTAATTCGGTAAGTCCTTATGGCAGTGGACTCTTTCAATCGCCTCATACCATCTATGTGCTCCTGAACCCTCACGTAAGTAATCTTGTCTTTTCTCCAATGTACTCATCACCATAATCACGGCAAGTAATTGTGTAGACCACTCCAGACATGGTACAATCACCCTCTCTGTAGCTGAACAGATCACACAGTTTGAGGTTGTACTGGGCGATCGTACGGCATGTTCCGAACTCTTTAGATTGAATGGTAGTAAGTTCGCAATAGCAACTGGATTTTCAAAACGATCTCTTGAGACACTTTCTGATGGTTTCACTGATCTCGTCAAAAATGAATGGTAGTACAAAAAGAATTTTTCCTTCGATCGTGGAACTACCATGGCTGAGGATCACACCGTCAGAAGAAGCTGTAGAGCTAGAGTTTCGACCGAACTGTATCGTAGGCCATTTTAAGCGACTCTTTTCGCTAATCCTCTCCAGTGCAAGCATTCTTAGCGGTGCGGAGCATATTCCTAACAGCCACCTGTTTTATGTAAAAAGGATGAGCTGAGTGATAATGGACAATGATATTTTTATTGGTAGGCCTTCTACACCACTTCGTAGCAGCATATCTCCCTATAACCTCACTTGAACTTTTAGGAAAGATATGTCAGAAGACTGTAAAACTTATCAGTAAAGCAAAAATGAGAAGAAATTTGCTGCAATGGAAAGCACACAGAACACAATCAGAAGTCCAACGTGATCGCAACAAGTCCTTTTGCCCTGTAAACAACTTGTCATCGGGCGTGCGGTGATGTTGGATGTGCGAGTACATCATTAGCTTGTCAAAACAATTCCGTTGGTCTCACCTGATTTTTTGTGTCAATAAGAAAACTATTATTCGTCAATGCTTCTGCGCCATACAGGTTTTTTAATGGTGGAATACTTTTATTCGCCTGACGTTTCGACAATCTCGTCTTTATCAAAGGCCTGAAAGCGTATCGTAAC